CATACACCTTTAACAACCTTTTTCGAATTTCTAAATTAACCGTTCGCGAGCATAGAAGTGACTTCTTTTTATTAAAGGCGACACGACCCTGCGCTATCCTCTGCTTTATATCCCTACTACTCCTTCCATCCTGACTTATCATTATAACTTTGAAAAATAAACGAGAACAATCTGACTTAAAAACACAGAAGTAAATTGCGATTGACGGTAAATTTAGTTGTAAATGTCTAGAATCGGATTTAAAGGGGTTGCAGTATTTACTGTCAAAGTATTTTTATGGCGAGGCGTAATGGGGTTGCCCGTTATACGACAATTCACCTTGAGTTTGCCAACTATTTAAAACGAACGCTAAACTTTTCGTCTTTAACTTTAATTCGTTTTAGTTCCAGAGAGAAGCCTCAACTTGCGACAGGAACGGAGCAGCAGCGAGCTAATGCGAGTGTCATGTTCTGCCGAGGGTGTCTACCCCCAACCTGAGATGATGCTGCTTCAAGGCGATAGGTAACGAGCTTAATTTGTTATTAGAAACCGCAACATTAACAGATAAAGAGATGTGACAGACTAGTAAGGTATTATCTTCTTCTCGCGTAGTTTACGAAATTTACCGTTGATAAAAATCTTTTATCGGGAGTATTCGTCCATGTTAAAAAAAAGATCTGTTTTAAAAGCTTTTCGATTCATACAAAATCGGGTGGCGCAATCTGGTAGTCTATATCAAATGAATAAACAAACTTTTTAAACACAAAAATTTCAAAGATAGTTACTCCTGAAGAACTACCCTAGACAAAAATTTTCAGTCTCTCTCCAGTCTCTCAGAGTCTTTCAGCGTCTCTCACAGTCTTTCACAGTCTCTCAGTTATTGCCTAGGTGTTTTTATGTATCTCTCACAGTCTGTATGAGAGACTCGAACGATAAAATTGTTAATTCAGAGATTCGAGTCTCTCACAGAGAGACTGAATGAATAAAACTGAAAAATTGAGAGACTCGATTCTCTCGTAGAAAGACTGGTATCTCTGAAATAAGTTCAACTTAGAAAATTTTAACCATGTCTATCGGGACATCACTTACCGAGAGATTCGAGTCTCTCACTCAGAGACTGGATACGAAATGAGGATCTCTCTATGAGCGAGTCGAGTCTCTCATTCAGAGACGCTAAACAATTTTTTTGACAGTCTCTCTCAGCGACACCAGAGAGACTCGATGAGAGACGGAGACTCGAGTCTCGCTTCCAGGGACTCTGAGAGACTGAACATTTTTATCTCTGGTATTAACAATGGATTTAGTTTTAGTAGGTGCCATTAAAAGTTAATACCTAACTTATACCTTCGAATGTTGCTTGGCGTCTAATAAGTACTCTAGGTAACGAGTAAATTTAAATAAGCACAGAGGATAAATATTCGATGATTGAATAGTGTCGATTCTTTGCGTCTAATAAAGTCGCGAAGTTTTGCCGCATTCAGATATGCGTGAGCGAAGCAAATGAAAAGTGGGAGATACAATAACATTTCCGCAAAACAAACACAAAGAACATGAATTTGGGGGCAGCGAATTAGCTGCAGCAGAATTACTGAGTTACAAAAAAGTTCATGCGACAGGAACGTAGTATTTGTTAATTCATTATATTTGAGTTAAAGATATAAATAGGTACATCAATGTTTAATTAAAATTTAAATGAACCGAAAACAAATCTTTTCTTATTATAATTGGAAAACCAAAGATTACAAAAACGAACCAAGACGACAATATTTTTTGTGAAAATTTAATTAGACGCATTGTTTAGGTATCTGCAACATATATATATATCAACTGGAATATTATTATTTTTGTTTCAGTTTTATGTTCATATATAAATACAATATCATCTTTCATATCACAGAGAAAATGTAAGTACCTACTAGTTACCTACATATTGTCATGCAAATTGAAACTGGTGTAGATATATTATTTAATATCTATTATCAATCACCCAGTATATAATAGTTTTTTAACTTTATCGTTTTTTATTGTTACAAATCCCGATATACCATTAACATTATACGACAGTTATAAACAAAGTTGGGACAGATTCGCCATTAAATTTTTTCGTACCATTATTTAAACATTAAAATCCCAAGCGAATCGTGCATGTGTGTGTGGGTGTATATTTATAGGTGTTGCTGTGTTTAAAAGTTTGTTTCTACAGGTAATGTACATAGGCGGCTGTGTGGATAGAGACAGGCTCTCGTCGGCGTCGTCGTCCGCGGCGTCGTGGTGGATGACGGAATGAGATTTAACTTTGAAACTCAGTTTGCCGCAGATTATATTTAAAACTACGGCTGAATTTTTAACTTTATTCATTAAATTCATTTCACAAGCAATAGCTTACGGAAACTTTGTTGCTAGGTGTACACGAATACGCTGTATGCACCTATGTAGCAGTAGGTGGGTACATGACAATAGAAAATCAATTTTCATCGCGGAGCGAAACTAAAACAACAAAACCAAACAAACACATTTAACAAGAAGTTAAACAAAATATTCAATTTTATGAAGGCACTTATAATGCAGCTATTTTCTATCCCAACATAAACAAAGTTGATTACGGGGATGGACTTTGTTTAGTGGCTTGCAGTATCGATTCAGAGATTTCATTAATTGGTTTTGAGATACATCATCATCATTATCATAAAGTCGTCAGTTTTAAGACTTGTTGAATCAATCTTCACATTTTCCCAAAAATAGAACATCCTACATCCTTAACTATTTTTAACAGTAATTCTAGGATCAGTGGACGGTAATTCGGGGGTAGGAATTGTAATGCATAGGAAAACAGGGCTGGGTGTAGAAAGTCATTTACAAAAAAGCGATAGGACGGTTATGGTTAAATTAAACTCGGAGCCGGTAAATCTTCATCTTACAATGATGAAGACGTAGAAGCGGCTTATGCAGATGTAGAAGACGTGTTAGATTTACTGGAAGGGCAGGAAAACCTGATATTTTTAGGAGATTTCGACGCAGTAATAGGTGAAGGTAAAGTGGGTGCAATAGCAGGTTCTTTTGGATTAGGCAATAAAAATTATAGGGGTGATAGACTGATAGAATTTTGCGATTAACATAGATAACCGTTGCGAAAATTTTATTCAACCATCATGTTAGGAGGCACTATATGTGGAAGATGCAAGGTGATTTAGGGAGACATATGTTAGATTACATACTTATTAGGCAAAGATTCAAAAATCAAGTGAAGGACTGTAGGAGTTATCCAGGAGCAGATATAGATATCGATCATAACTTAGTAGTTATGAAGACCAATCTTAAATTGAAAATTCTGAAATAGAGGGAAGGTAGGAGACGTCTTGACTTAGAAGAGCTAAAATGTAACGAAACGCGAAATAGGCTAGGTACTAGGACAGACAAGATACTGAAGGAACGCTTGTAACTTTTTCTTTTGAGATTAATTAAAATAATTGTCATAGGCATTTCGATTGTTTATCTTTGATCGAATCACTGAATTTATTTAGAGTTAGAGGTAGTAGTAGTATCTACAAAATGGAGTATTAGAAGTAGAATGTAAACAATAGGCAAACAGTAAAACAATCCTTCCAAAAGTTCACCAATTGAAATCCAGTTTTTCTTAATGAGAAAACGATGGTTATTGAGAATTCAGATCCACTGTTTTTATTAGTTTTGAAAAGAATCTGCCGCATTTATCTATAGGTGGGGAAATGTGCATAACTAAAGCAGAATTTGTTTTACAGTGAAATCAACAATACGGTTATTACTGTGGAAAAGAAGGAAGGTTTGTTCAACATCAAAGCAACTTCGGATCAGCCGCGTCTCGAAGCCGCAAAAGAATTTTCATGCGAGCTACGTATTCCGAAAGCAAACTATACGGTGAAAAAGGAGGTTGTCTACTATCCGAGTAAGTTTCAATCCTTTGAATTTAAATTCTATGCATAACAAGTATTTTTAAAATAACCCCATGAGTAGGGTATTCCCTATTTCGTCAGCATATCCCGGCAGTGAAAGATACAAAGTAGTTAGTGCGGGAATAACATACAGGGTGTTAGAAAATTACTGGAACCGGAGGATAAATGGTTAAGACTTTATTTTTGTAAACAATTATAGTTACTATGTTCTTGTGTTTGACCTTGTCCGTTATCGTCCAGGTCATTTCTAGGTTATGCGCATTCTTGACCTTAGAACTGAAATGAGTCAAAGTTGAGTCATTTAACTGAAAATTAAAATAATAAAATTAGTATATAACTCGAAGGCGAAAAAGACCAGATTATGTTACAAATTTTTCCTCTTTTTTCAGTTCTGAGATACAAAATTATTGTAATCAAAACAGTAAAATTCTGCAAGTAAAAAATTTGATTCAGTTGATCTAAAGTAAAGAGTATGTACTATCCTTCTCTTATCTCAAAAGTAGAGGCGGAAATGTGCCCCTTATTGTGACCTTATTCATAAACTGTTACTGCTTTAAAGAAGCTGTTTTGTGCTCGTAACTTATTTTAAGACTCGCTAAAGGCGTCTACGAAAAGCGATAAAGTTGTATTTTCGTAGTAGGTGAGTTTTGAGCAGTTGAGAGCGACAAAAGTCAAAACATAAAATTTAACAAGTGAGAAAGTGCTAAATTAGCTTCATCTTCAGATCTGCACGTTTGACACGACATCTCATAAAGTTACGAAACCAAGCCCGAAGCTTACAAAGCTCGGCGTGACGCGTCAAGTCAGCGAAGCTTGGCAAAAACGCTTTTTCCCGATAATATTGTTTTATGCAATAAGAAAATATAAAATATAAATTATACGATTGCGTGAAACAAGAAGTTTAAAGGCAACTTTTCGATCTCAACTAGTTCATTCTACATTAGGTAAGGCAAATCGTAGTACACAATAGATTCACTTCATCTTGTTACATGGCTACTTCTGGAGTTCCGCAAGGATCTAATTTAGGTCCGTTATTATTTCTGATTTTTATTAACAATATAACAAATACACAACACACTCCAGTGTCCTAACCACTAATTGTAACAATATTCAACAGTAAACAATGCAGTGTTCTGACTTTTCACAAAAAATTCAATTTAAACTACCAGTAGTTATCAAAAGTGGAAAACACAACAAACAAATTAATTTTCTACACCACTAAACTCTCCTATATACTTATAATACATTCACCATTTCCTATTTTGACTTAATGCAAATAAATTCAGTGTAGTTATCAAATTAGATCTAACCTTTCGTAGGTACAGCAGTTAACTTAAACAAACCAATATCAAGCACAAAATGCTTTTTAGTACCCCTTGATCAAGTGGAGTAACTAAAGTTTAATTTACCTTGGGCAAATTGTCCTTACAATAGGGATAACAGTGAAAACAGTAACGAGAAGTTCGTTTGTATAAGTTCAACTTTATGCCACGAAAATAAATATTCAACAACTAAACTCTGTCTTATCACTTATCACAGGTAGAAGTTTGCTTTATAGTATGGTTTATAACTAATTAACTGCGTTTTGTTGATTAGTTGTGCTTGTTAGTCTTAATGTTGACGTTTCTGTTTTATCGATAAACACATATTCAGGAATCACTTTAATTTGTCAAATGAATACTTGGTAGGTAGCGATTTATTTCGTTTCTGTATCTATCTTTTATAAAAAGTTTACGATGTGATGTCTTGTTTTCAGATTGTTGCGATAAAATTCAGTAGAACGAGCAGTTTAAGCCGATTATTTTGCAAACCACGCGATTTAACTGAATTCAGACGAGGGGTTGGACGATTTATCTCGCGCAAGCAATTAAATTTATCGGAATCTAGTATTAGATGGAGCAAGATATATCCTTCGTGCCGGACAGACTACATTCACTTCTAGACAGAGCAAATCAGATCTACTAATTCACCAGCTCAATAATATGTACGGGCTGTCGGACACGAGGGGTATATTGCGCTGGTATTTATCGTTCAAACAAAACGCTTCCGGGGTAGATCACGATTTCAATCGGAATTCGTATGATTCACCAGTAATTTTGTTATGCAATTAACAATCAATCACATGAAACCAACTGGAACTGGTTCAGATACTAACTCCATACAGACACTTTAATAATTGAATTGCTTATCAAATTAATATTAAAAAAGAATATAATCAATTAATCGTTAATATTAATTATATCACATTCTAATGAGTTTTTTAGTTTAAATAATAAGTAAGTAATTGAAACTTCGTGTATGTTCATGGATTCTGTGATTAAGTAGCATGCCCATTTGTCCTATGTACTATATATAGCCCATTTCAATTTGTTTGAATTGTGACCTTGAAGAAATCTGCGCGAAGATAGAAAGAATACACACTAGGCGTGTGCAAGACAGATATAGTCGGAACAAGCTTGAACGAACAGAGCTCTCTATGGGCGGTCTTAAGAGATCGGCTAGAACTGTACAGTACTAGACGAAACAATTTCTTAAAACAAAAATGTATATAAATTAAGAATAGAAAACAAAGCAAAAGTTTTATAGGTGTGTGGAACGTTAAGTTAATACACTTGTTATTATTTTTGGCTAAATATGCTTTTAAATAAGGCATATTCCTAAACTTTAACGAGGCAGTTTAAATAATTTTGCAAATGGTACTGTACACTTTTGTCTGGCTCTAGCTCGATGAAGAAATGAGCTACGCAGACAAATATGATTGAATTTGGAATTATGCTACGACGCATTCTAATAAAGGGAAAGGGCATATCTCCAACTTCTTGAAACGAACAGTAGTTATCTACCTCCATTTAAAACTCTTGTTTTTTTTTGTATCTACGAAAGATAAAAATACATTTGTGCCGCATTGTTACTATAGTGACATATACGTGGAAGCTACACATATAATTTCATTTCGTGAGAAACGAATGTTACCAAATAACAGGCACTTTACATATATACATTAGGTTAACGTTTTATCACGGACCTCACTACAGTTGATTTGACTTATTCTCGGAAGTTACACGTTATTTGAATTTTGGATCATGAAATATTAAACTGTATATTATAGGGGACGAAGTGACCTGGAATGGTCAACCAATATTTATTTTGTAATTCGGTGTTTTTCTTTTTCAGGATCTAACACCTTGATGTACATACATAATTAATTACAATTGATTACTTTCAGGAATTACGTAGTGGCGCTTTGCTGAATTAATTAAGACGTACTTACAAACATTTATATTTTTAGATACCATAGAAAATCAATTCAATTGGAAAATATTTTTGTTTATCCATGTTTTCGGATTGGAGTACTTTGTATCGAAAATAGTGACAGTCCATTTATTGAAAAGACATTTCATTACCTAAAATAGGGAAAGAGCTCATCTATTTTTAATGATGTTCACAAAAATCGAATAGAAAATGAGCCTCGTACTACATACTTACATACATTAATTCATGAATTTTTCGTATTTTCACTAAGGAAAAAAGTATAAACAAATTACACATATATGCCTTTACTTAATAATAATGATTTATTATAAAAAAAATAGTTTCAAAAGATTTAGGCATTATATTTTGTATAAATAAAATAGTCCATAACCAAAGTTATTTAAATAATAGAAAAAATATTTTGACTGGTATTTGTTGAATATAAAAATTAATTTGCAAAATTGAATTGTTTCAGATAGTCGTGGTAGTAACTTTGAATCTTCATCTGTTGTTATAACAACAATATTGTGGTTTATTCTTGATACTTTTTCTGGTAAGTTAATTAATTACTACTGCATTAATTGGTATAGGTAATATCAAAAATGAAACGAAAAAGGGCAGTCCTATCTACCTACAATATTATTATTGGTAGAGACAATAAATTGATTTGAAATTTTGTTTCAGGCTCTATTGCTTGATTACCTAATTAAAGGTGATTCTTCAAAAAGCACATTTGGTGTGTGAAGATTTTCTATGTTTGTGTAAACTTTTTATAAATAAATTATATGTATTATTGTTATTATCTTTTTGTATTCACTATCCTAAAGTCAGTTATTTCCGCTACTAAAACCGTCCAGTTCTATTTATAAAGGTAAGTGTGTATACTGGTTGCGAAAAGGTAGAAAGGTAACCTCATAGTGTGCCGCTTCATAGAAATATGTATTCGTTCATGTGTGTGTATCATCGCCGATCTTCTAAGAGCCGGTTGGTGCGCGTGCGCCGTTCTTACCGCTATTGACGAGAGCGGCATATTGTTCGTCAACACTAAAATCTGCACTTTCGCAAACTGTAGGTATTGTAAGTTTGTTTAGATGACAAAAGTCGATTTTTTGGTTTAATCTTACCTCATGTAGGTTGAATAGGCTCACATATTTCCAGTAAGATAAATAATTTATTTTTATTTTTCACAATAATTTGATTTTCCGGACTGGTGAAGTAACTTCCATTGTAACGGATGCTATTAAAGACGGTGCACACACAAAGGGAAGTCAACACGCGTTAAATTATTATCTTAGGTTTAGGAAAAGTGCTTTCAAAAATTTATCGTACTTTATCTGGATAAAGAACACGAAAAAGCACTTTTCCAACCGAAATTGAGCAGAGCCAGTCTGTTATGATATAGAACCACACAATATAATATTTAATTTTGACAAAATTAATTTCATTTCCCATTGCGCCAAACTGATTAATTTTGTTAAAAATGCAATATTATTTGACTGCTGGTAGTCGAAGGTGGAATTTGATTTTATAAACTCAAAAAAAAAACAATTTATCTCTGCAAAGTTGCCGACGTACTGTTTGAGAAACTGCGAATATGTTTCTGTGATTTTAAAGAGAAATTAATTCAGCATGCAACAGAAGTTTCAGTAGAATTTACAGAAGTTTGAAGTAGAAATTGATGGAGTATTCAGGTGTGTACCAAAAGTTACGAGCAAGGTGGCGTTAATCAGTAAGTGTAAAATCGTAAACCTTCCCAGTTGTGTTAAGTTTTATGTTCTCGTTATATCAACAAACCCGTACTTTATTTTTCAAGGCTGGAAAGTTCGTGCGCAAAAATAAAATTAAGGAATGTGATGGGATGGAGATGATGGTGGTGGTAGCACCTACATGACGGACGGAGCTTTTATATTCTCGAGGGAAATACCCGCTACACACTGGCGTACAAATCGAAACATTTCGCTCAAGTTACTTTGAAGTTTGAAAATCTTTTTGAAATCACTCTACAGTTAACTTTTATTATTCATAACTTCGTGGAACTGTAATAACTGGTGGAATTATAAAAGTTATTAAAGAACAAAGTTTATGGTGTTGACCCGGCATTACAAAATGAAATTATATGCTAGAAAGTAATTATTTCGGTTTGGCATATGAACAACTTCTATTTTTCATTTAAATTCTCAGAAGGAGAAAGTCGTTTTTTTTTTTGCTTTTATTCTGTATGAAACTTTGTTTGGTCTTGGCACTTTTTTCTTGTTATGAACTTCAACATTAATAAATATGATATTTCCAAACTACTTTTTAATATAGATACTAAATCTTATGCGATAAATTCAAGTGTTATCTGAGAAAAACGTTTGAAACTATGGTATCCTAAATAGGATAATCAACACCATTGGGATCTATCAATTCATTATTAACTACTTATGCAAAACAATTAGTTTTCGTCAGGAAGCAAACACAGTTGAAATGTTCTTTTGAAGTTTTTGTGATGTATTCACATGAACTACGTTGGAATAAAGAAAATGCGGATAATCAGTTTAAACCTACTTTTTTTCTATTTGTTATCGTATTTTCAAAATTGCTATTCGTTGGGTGCTCATTTAAGGCTTTGGTCTACGAACTGAAAATCGCTTAACAAATTATCCGCTTTATCGTAAAGGGAACATAACATTTACCTTTTGCATATTTAAATGCATCCCTATTAGTCCTCAGAGCCATAATGAAATGTCACCTGTCGTTTCCAAGGGACAGCCATTGTTTGATTAACGATAATATAGAAGGTACGCTTAATGCGCATAATAAAGTAAATAATTTTGAATGTAAAGAAGCAATCGATTTCGTCGGTTTCATTTCGTCCATTAGGCAATGAAAGACGTCAGCATTTTCATATAATCCGTTTGTTTTAAATTGTTTGGAATGCCTAATGATTATCCATTAAAGGCGATCACTGAAGAAATCGATTTTCTAACAAATAAGTACTTAAGTAAAGCTTGGAAAACTTACTTTGACGTGTTGAGTAGGTAAACTGCTACAAAATTTCTTCTAGTAAATGATACACTCTCTTTAATATCTTTCACCTTTCGTTTTTTGTTATAAATTATGTAAACACCGCACTGAAAACATTGATCTTCTCCACGGTCGATATTATTAACCTGCACATTAGCATCTTTCAGTTGGCGATGATAACGTTCGGTCATTTTCGCCACCTTTTCACGACTGTGGTAAATTAGTATCTGAGACATACGTTTCCAACAAAAAGCTGTACCACAATGTGTTCTAAATAGAATTGCAATTATCGAAAGAATTATTCATTTTTGTCCATTAGTATACACTAGGTAATTATTAATTAGTAAATCTTAGATTTAGTCAATTGAGTGACTAAAAAGTGAGTCAAATGAATCTAAATTTCATTGATGGAAATTATTTTTCACACTTTTATGAATATCCTGAAGAACTTTAGGCATAATTTAGAATGCAGATCTGTCAGGTCCGCGTATGTATTTTTGTATATTAAATGTTTGCTTATACGTATATATGGTTTGCTTTTAAATATGGTTTCGGTGGGAGTAATTTAAAGCTATATTTCCTACATATGTAGGTTAGTACTAATAGCAAAAGGATGTTGATTTGATATATGCATGTACATGACTTATCAAGCTCGTTAAAGTTTTCTCAAGTTAACGACATTTTCATGTATACTATGTATGTGAAAGGTACACGCTTACGTGATAATGCATCATGGAATTCTGAAGGAATTTTGCTCCTGCTAATAAGAACAGTTCAATTAAGGATACTAACTTATACCTTGTTTTTTACTAGCACTGTATCCTTTTTGCTTTTTAACTTAACCGAAAATGAAAGCACTCACTGCATTCCGAATTTACATCATTAATTTTACAGTGATTGCTCTGTGGTTGTTTATCTGGGATTTACTTTAAAGCGTTTTATAGATTCAAAATCAGTTTTCATACAACAAACTTCCATTTGATCAGTTTTTTTTTAATCTGCAAATAAATCTATGTTCTGTTGTTATTCTTAAGTTATTTCCACGGCCCGTATGTCTCTGATTGTGCATTATGTGTGGTAACATTCGTTTAAAATAAGTGAAAGTTTCCCAAGTTAAGATGGCTTTGAGAGCTTTGGAAGGGGCAATAAACTTGCAAGTTGAATCCTGGTAGTTACTTTATTAGAGTAGTCGGTCGCGTATTAAGTGTAACGTCGGTGTTTTCGCGTTCGCCTGATTTCTGTGAACATTATTAATTACTTTATATTTCCGTTTCTGTGAACATTATTAAATACTTTATATTTCCGTTTCTGTGAACATTATTAAACACTTTATATATCCGTTTCTGTGAACATTATTAAACACTTTATATATCCGTTTCTGTGAACATTATTAAACACTTTATATATCCGTTTCTGTGAACATTATTAAATACTTTATACAAATATATAGAAACTAGAATTGGAGTGTATTTTAAGACGGTTTTCATGAGGAAGATTCCAACAGTAACTGCAGAAAAGGTAAGTGCGCAGTTTTCCTTGCATTTTCTTCTTGTCTAATTATAAGATGGAGCACCGTCCTTTTGTAGGTTATGAAAATCTGAATTCGAAGCGTATTTTACAAATTTTTGAATAATGGGCTTACAATGGTAAAATTAGATCTAAAAATGTTTTGTTAATAATAACTGCTTAGTTTTGACGTGGAAGATCAATAATTTATCTATATTTCAATCAATACTTTTATAAATTCAGAGCAAATATTGAATTTTGTCTTGTAAGTGCATTGTGTTCAAAAGAAAGTTGCAGTCAAATAATATTATTAGTTTTAGTTTGCTATGGGAGATTTCGGAGTTTAATTAAATCGGAATCGTCTCCCCTTTGATTAGTCTTTTGATTTTATCTGCCTTTGAATGTGGATCCTTCATGACTGTTTATACATATATATAGATTATTTCCGAGGAAAATTCCAATTTTCAATGAAAGCTTTCGATATTAATTTGTTTGTGTAATCTGCTAGAAACGATTTTATTGTTGAATGCAATGCTCAATAATAGCAGGCTAGAACCACAAAAGTGACTTTGTTTTATAAAATATTCAATTAGATACGAATTATTTAATGAAAACAATAAATAGGTAATAGTCTTTTAAAAAAATGAAACAGAAATTAATTTGTTAGGGTGGCGTTAATCAGTAAGTGTAAAATCGTAAACCTTCCCAGTTGTGTTAAGTTTTATGTTCTCGTTATATCAACAAACCCGTACTTTATTNGTAAATACAATAACTTTATATAGATAAATAATTAATTTATTATTTATATGACAACAGCAAAATTCATTAAACTTTCTAGCATTTTTCTTTCTAACAGAAGAAGTTGAAATCGTTGACGAGCTTTCAAGTATGTATTAAAACTATTCGTTTTATGCATTGAAAATGCAAGACTCTTTTGAACATGTAATTTTACAAAAGTGTACTTTACCATGATTATTATCTATGTTACGTATTTGACCATAGCAAGGTCATAAATAAATGGAATGTAGCTCTTAGTAGAACGGAACGGTTGGGTGTAACTTATTTTTGTTGGCTATTTATTTCAGTTGGGTAATTGGATGAAGCATTACCCTCTGTTTACTGAGCCAGAAAGATAAGTAAGTCTGGTAGAGTTCTTTCCGGATTAACTTCCGTTTTTGCAGTAAAAACTTAACAAGATAGTTTGTTTTACTACTGCAATAAATGCACTGTCTAATACTGCCCATCTACATCTACCATCTGTGTTTATATTTCGATTTTCCCGAATATCCCTTAAGTTAACTGTTTTATGCTAGACAAACCCGTGTAACACGATAAAATTCCATAACAGT